ACATGCTAGTTTCAGTGTCTCTAATAGTTGAAATGACCATGCATTCTTGGCGATCACGCTAGTTTCAGTGTCTCTAATAGTTGAAATGACCATGCATTCTTGGCGAACACGCTAGTTTCAGTGTCTCTAATAGTTGAAATGACCATGCATTATTGGCGAACACGCTAGTTTCAGTGTCTCTAATAGTTGAAATGGCCATGCATTCTTGGCGAACATGCTAGTTTCAGTGTCTCTAATAATTGAAATGACCATGCATTCTTGGCGAACACGCTAGTTTCAGTGTCTCTAATAGTTGAAATGACCATGCATTCTTGGCGAACACGCTAGTTTCAGTGTCTCTAATAGTTGAAATGGCCATGCATTCTTGGCGAACATGCTAGTTTCAGTGTCTCTCATAGTTGAAATGACCATGCATTCTTGGCGAACACGCTAGTTTCAGTGTCTCTCTCAGTTGAGATGACCATGTATTCTTGGCGAACACGCTAGTTTCAGTGTCTCTCTCAGTTGAAATGACCATGCATTCTTGGCGAACATGCTAGTTTCAGTGTCCCTCTCAGTTGAAATGACCATGCATTCTTGGCGAACATGCTAGTTTCAGTGTCTCTCTCAGTTGAAATGACCATGCATTCTTGGCGAACACGCTAGTTTCAGTGTCTCTCTCAGTTGAAATGACCATGCATTCTTGCCGAACACGCTAGTCTCAGTGTCTCTAATAGTTGAAATGACCATGCATTCTTGGCGAACACGCTAGTTTCAGTTTCTCTCTCAGTAGAAATGACTATGCATTCTTGGCGAACATGCTAGTTTCAGTGTCTCTCATAGTTGAAATGACCATGCATTCTTGGCGAACACGATAGTTTCAGTGTCTCTAATAGTTGAAATGACCATGCATTCTTGGCGAACACGCTAGTTTCAGTTTCTCTCTCAGTAGAAATGACCATGCATTCTTGGCGAACACGCTAGTTTCAGTTTCTCTCTCAGTAGAAATGACCATGCATTCTTGGCGATCACGCTAGTTTCAGTGTCTCTAATAGTTGAAATGACCATGCATTCTTGGCGAACACGCTAGTTTCAGTGTCTCTAATAGTTGAAATGACCATGCATTCTTGGCGAACATGCTAGTTTCAGTGTCTCTAATAGTTGAAATGACCATGCATTCTTGGCGAACATGCTAGTTTCAGTGTCCCTCTCAGTTGAAATGACCATGCATTCTTGGCGAACATGCTAGTTTCAGTGTCTCTCTCAGTTGAAATGACCATGCATTCTTGGCGAACACGCTAGTTTCAGTGTCTCTCTCAGTTGAAATGACCATGCATTCTTGCCGAACACGCTAGTCTCAGTGTCTCTAATAGTTGAAATGACCATGCATTCTTGGCGAACACGCTAGTTTCAGTTTCTCTCTCAGTAGAAATGACTATGCATTCTTGGCGAACATGCTAGTTTCAGTGTCTCTCATAGTTGAAATGACCATGCATTCTTGGCGAACACGATAGTTTCAGTGTCTCTAATAGTTGAAATGACCATGCATTCTTGGCGAACACGCTAGTTTCAGTTTCTCTCTCAGTAGAAATGACCATGCATTCTTGGCGAACACGCTAGTTTCAGTTTCTCTCTCAGTAGAAATGACCATGCATTCTTGGCGATCACGCTAGTTTCAGTGTCTCTAATAGTTGAAATGACCATGCATTCTTGGCGAACACGCTAGTTTCAGTGATCATTAAGCATTGGCAGTGTTCAGACCCGGAAATGTACATGTGGTGCTTTGTTTGAATGGGTATTCGTTGTTTAGACATTGTCTTTAAAGTCTTGATGTGTTCGTCAACTGGTCAATAAGTGCAAATGTAAGTGTTGTTCATACATTGCCTGGACGTTTTGGTGTGTCCGTAGACCGATCAAGAAGTGAATAGATAATTCTTGTCTTCAAGTTGATGTGTCCTCTGGTCAAGAAATGAATGTTTAATTGTTGTACAGACATTGTCTTCAAAGTCTTGGCGAGTCCGTCCTCTGGTCAAGAAGTGAATGTGTAATTGTTGTACAGACATTGTCTTCAAACTCTTGGTGAGTCTGTCCTCTGGTCAAGAAGTGAATGGTTATACGGTGTTCAGCTATTGCAGCACTGCCCTGATGGGAATCCCCCATATTAACTCCAGACTGATATTTTTGTCAAGCTGTAGATGGCCACTGGTCAGATCTGCAGCGCCGCGAGAACACATCTCGTCAGTACCATCTTAATTCAGCCGGCCAGTGGTCACGGACCGGACATGGCAGGATATGCAGGACCATTCATGGAATTTGTCCTAATCTCCCCTTCCCTGACTAGGACCGCCTGCATCCACGTCATATACCCCATGCAATCAGCTTCGCCAGAACGGATTGGGGAGACAGTAGAATCCAATTATGTTTAGTTGCAGAAATCAATCTTAATTAAAATCTGCGACAACTTAGAAACAGCTAACAATAGAAGAAATATATGGTTCCTGACAAGAAATGAAGTTAGTATAAGCGATCAGTGTAGAGGCACCCCGGTAATATTGGAGTTTGTTAATACGGCGCCTCAGCGTTGTCATCCAACCAACCCGCAGCCTGCTGCTGGCGCCTGGCCAAGCCCGACTGGTCCGTATGGTCACTGCTATCTGCTGTCGACCGGGCCGGCCGACCGGACACCACCAGATAGGACGATACGGCCGTCATAGCAATCAGAAAGGCTAAATCTCTTTTCGATTACCACTGATAAATTACAGAGTGTCTGGAGGAGGGGATTTACATACGTGCCGAATCAACTGTCGTGGCTCCCCAGCCAAACAGATAATAGTCAATTATATGCCCGATTATTTGATAAACTGGTATAATTCTTACGATTGATTTCAACTTTTATTATAGGTGGAAATGCCACGGTGGCCATCTATCACGCCATTATCGTCTTTACTTTAGCGGCTAGATCCCAATGATGTGTAGATACGACACCAGGGGTAGTTGAGGCAGGGTTACATCGTCACTGTCAAGTCCTATACACCAAGTACCTTCAGGGCACTAAGTCATGCATTGCCTCCTCTTGTGGGCGTCACATGAACGAAAGCTATGTTAACCGGTAATGGTAAACTGTATAATAACGTAAGGGTTTGTGATTTTGAAATATCGTTTTCAAATTATCAGACGGGATGTAGTATTAACGAGGGCTTGGATGCAAGATTCGGAAAGCAATGGTAGAGTGTTTTCTTTCACCAATGTACACATTTCAGTATCAGGCTGATCCAAACCTAAACTGACATTGCAAATGGATAGTCCTTCATATACGGGTCTTTTCTCGAAAACAAGTATCCAAATATATCCATACCTCAAAATAGAACAATAATAAATCTGATATAAAGGGGAATAAGGGATCATTAATTGTGCGTTACAATATCACCAGGACGATCTCTAACATAATTAACACTATTTCAAAGTCGGCTCCGAAGCTTCACATCTGATAAAGCAACATGATTGCATGCGTTGGTTTTACGCCGCTTTCAGATATATAAGAGCCATATCATGACGGGGGACACCTCACGTGGGCATCACCGTTGTGCCCACGTGGGGAATGAAACCCGTGCCTTATCCGGGTGACAATGGGCCTTCGACAACCCATGCTTGTCATTAGAGGCGACCATGCTTGTCATTAGAGGCGACCATGCTTGTCATTAGAAATGACTGCTTGTCGTAAGACGTGACTAACGGAATCGGGTGGTCAGGTTCACTGACTTGGTTTATGCATGGCATTGTTTCCTAATTGCCTAGATCGATGCTCATGATGTCAATCACTGGGTTCGATCATTTACCGATCGCCATCTTGTAGCTGGTATATTGCTGAGTGCGGCGTTAAACAACAAACAAATAGTGCCAAAGCGGTATGGGTGGCCCAGTTTTCCAAGGTGTCGCAGTTGGTCGTACTGTAGTTACTTCCATTAGCTGTCACAATCAACTTTACCTGGTTCGAGTCCCAGATGCGCCATGGGAGTCATGGGTTGTTGGCACCATTCCTATTATATAATTACACACAGACAGGTCTTAAATGGACTCCCCTGGCTGGGGTTTCTGGATATCTTGTTTTTTTCACACACACACCTCACCTCACCCCACCGCACCCCACCACGAGTAAGACGTGGTTAGCTTTGGTCTTGTCATTGGGAGGGCATTCTGAAGCTCCGAGTGACCCCTGGGTGAGTCAGTTCGACTGCAGCATGGACAGCCGCCAGTTTGTACCCCCCTGGGGGTAGGGCAGCATACCAGGTGATGACCTCAAGTGCAAATGCTCCGACCCGTATTATTGACGCTTCTACTGGTTTTGATTTCGGAGAGAACATTTACTGAACTTGCATGTCACGTACCATGTGTTATTAGTGTGCTCGTCCTCACCAGAGTGAGGACTGCACGTGAGAGGACTGCACGTGAGAACTGCACGTGAGGACTGCTCGTGAAACACGCCTGTAGTTACCAACCTTCGGTGCTGGGCGGCTATCTCCAGTACTGATATAACAGACACGAACAAATATAGAAGCTAGATGATTTATTACCAGAAGATTGAGACATTACCCAAAGTGATAGTTCTCGCCGTGGACATTGAAGGGCCATCGACCAGCTGTTCCTATACACGGTGTAAGACTGATGGGCCATCTGAGAAACTATCATGGACCATTACTTCTAACTACCAGGCCACTAATCTCTTAATATTGTCTCTAGAAGCTAACTTATTATAACTTGTAATTGATCAGGAAAACATTCTGTGTAAAAGTACAGTCAGAACAGCTTATCTCTGGCAGCATCTTATCCAACTGACCACATCCCATCTAACCCAACATGACCATTGGACACGTTATGCCTGCGCCCTGGAAACCCCAGATCATGTTGGTGTGTAATGTCTGCTGGTCCAACACACGGGAACGCAAGGATTTGATAGTCGTAGACACTGAAAAAATAAACGCTTTTCAACTTGTCTATGAAGTCTGTGTATATTCTCTTTGCAG